CCCTGCTGGGACCTCCCAAGTTAGGTTCCCCTTCTTTTGGTCCACTCCTGCTGCCTAGTAGCCCGTCCAACCTATCCATGATAGCCTGAGTTCGCCTCTCCATCATCGCATCTATCTTTGTGTAAAGAGTCCCAAGAGGCTGCTCTTGCTGAATTCTTAACTTCTCCATGTCGTCTCTTAAGCGTAACTCTCTCTGTTCCGCTTCTCTTGTCATTCGCGACAAGTTCTTCGCTATGTGATCGTCCGTTCTTTCCTTCAAGCGTTTTTAGCTCCTACCAACTTCTTGTCTATTGCGGTTTATTTCTTCCCGCAGACTCTCTCTTTCAATGTGGACTGCTCTTTCTAGTTCACTCATTCTTATGGACATCTGTTCATTCTGTTCTCCTATACTGCCCACTATGTTGTTCAAGGCTTCTTCTAATGATGCCCCGTTTTCTACTAGTGGCGTCACTAGTGGCGGTGTCACCCTATCGACCCCAGGTAGCTTCGTGCTGGTCGAGATTCGGGCTTTGATTCTCTGCCTTGACGTCTTTTCATTATCCACTTCAGGATCCGCCAATGCGTTGCCTAGCCCTCTGTTTCTACTCTCCCCAGTTCGCGTCTCTGAATTTGTCATACTCGCAAAGCCTCTCGACTGACCTGGTGTGTTTGCGTCTTTGCTTATCGTTCTCACCACACCAAATTTGTCCATGGTTCCAGTCTCTCTTTCGACGTATGCCTCATTCTCCTGGGTCGAACTATTGAGGCTGACTTGAGATCCAAAATCCACTTCCTCGTCTTCGTCCCCTTCATCCTCCTGGATTCACCTTCATTTCCTGTACCCACTCCCATGGTGAATGGAGAGATGTTTCCGAAAGTGTTCTTCATTCTTTCTGAGAACGATGAGGACGTTGTTTGTTTCTCAGTCCCGCCTGCCATCATGGTGTTGTCTGTTGGAGATCTTCCACAATTGCGGTTTATTTCACAATTGCCACAATTTCAGTAGAGATGTCGGACAGTTCCGACATCTCCTCTCGGTCCAATGTCCCGGTGGAAGTGGCCAAATCTTGGCCTTGTTCTACCGGAGTAGATTCACTCGCCAGCCTTCTGTCTCTCACCTCCGGCCCATGTATTTCCTGGTTCTCATTCATGGCCTGGTCCGGATGGACCTCCACTTCTAGCATAGCTTTTTGCTCTTCTGAGGACTTCTGACTCCTGGTTTCAACTATTCTGCCTGAAACCGTCTCCCTTTTGTCGGTCCGGGCTCGTGTGATCCGTTCCACAAAAGGGTCGGTCATTGCTCTTCTTTGCTTTTTAGGTATGAATTTCCTGGAGCTATTACCTCGTTTAGGTATTCTTGACTTATCTAGATTCATTTTCAATTTATCACTTCTTAATGCCTATACACTCAATTCGATTGCTATTGACCTTCTAGTTTGACTACTGATAATAATAACACAACACAATAAATTTCAAAAATTTCTATTAAATAGTGACCTTGTATGTTATCACGGCACAACGTATTCACAACTTATTCACAATAATCGATTATTAGTCGTAAGATTTGAGAACTAGCGCAGTATGATGATATCAGTCAATTTAAAATATAGTGTATTCACTACCCAACTAAGCACAAATTGTTGATTTAAAACCAGATATAACAAAATAAGAATAATTTTATGAAAAACGTATGTGTATTGTACTTTTAGTCAGTCGCAGTACAATAGTCGAACTTGTTTTATAAAGAAAGAGCTTTCCCTGCTTGGTGCTGCACCAAACAGACAAAACTTTTGAGGCAGTAATTTTCTCAAGTGGGCACCCACCGAGTACTGTGTTACCTATTTGCCTTCGAACTGCCCCAGCTAGACCTAGTAAAATCCTCAGGGCAGTCACTTTTCTCAAAAATATTTCAAATTTCAATCCACACCAATGAGTTAGACACTCTTTTTTAATTTAGACTTAGTGTCGCCAATATCCAAAATTGGACCTGTTTTGTTTTGGTCTGGTCTTTTTCTTTAAAGGCGAATTACCAGTGCAGTCGCTGGTTCCTAGCCTGTCTCTAAATAACCTAACAACCCTCACTATTATCTTTTCTTCTGTTTACTTAAATCCTTAAACAAAATAGTACCCCTCCGGGTTAATAAAAACAGTACCCCTCCGGATTGGCAAAAATATGACCCCTCCGGATCTGCAAAATTGAGACCCCTCCAGTTTGGGACCCCTCTGAGTTAGTAAATGTAAGACCCCTCCGGATTAGGACCCCACCGGTTTCGTGAAAACAAGACCTCTCCGGATTGGGACCCCTCCGAATTAGGAGAGAGAAAAAAAATATATTTTGACCCCTCCGGTTTTGTAAAATTAGCTTTTCTGAGACTTTTTTGATTTTCTATGTATACCCCTCCGGATACGTTCTCCGATGCTATTATGCTATTATCAACTATGAAGGGTATGTGGTCCTTCCATATATTTGCAGCCTCTTATTTGACAATTCACGCTAACGGTGAAGGGTCTTATCGCTAGCCTAATTTCGGCTCTACCAAAGTTTTCCGGTGCCTTAAGCCTTCCCTATTCTTTAAGAACAGCGCAAAATTGCCTTATCCAACCGTTTCCACCTTTTGATAGGGATGTAAGGGCTTTCCAAAAAATTTTTATAAATCGTGAGGGGTCTACCCTCCTGAATTGGTGAATTTGCTAAAAACAATCTCAAAAAACTTTCATGCTTACTTTTTCGGAAAATTTTTGCTCCTGTTAGTAAGCTCAGCTAATTTTTGATCTATTGGTACCAAGATCAACTGAATCTGTCCAGTAGTTCCAAAGTTATTAACCAAAACGTCTTTTCTCTAAAGTCAAGAAATTTCTCTCTTATAGGTTCCGCCAAACTTTTTCCGCAATTCTGTTCTTTTCGACCTAAAAATTATTGATCCGTGCTCAGAAGGCCTATACTTTTCTATTTCAATGCAAAAACCCGATCTAAAACGCTTCAGTCAAAAAAATTTGCGAAAAACTATGCTACCTGGACCCCTCCGGATTGACGAATCCACTGAATCAAACATTTTAGGTTCGATTTCTCTGTAACCCGGAAGGTTTTCGGGAAGCGGGTTTTAGAATCTGTAGATTCACTAGTGGAAGTTGTCCGAACAACTATTTTTACTGTCCTAACTCGAAAATTTCAAAAAAATTTCTAATTTTATAGTGTTCCGTTTTCTCAAAAATCACGAAATTACGGTTTTTGGTACCAAAATATTTCTAACTACTTCTGAACTAAACTTAACTGGTTCTACCTACTATAGTAGTGCAATTACGAAGTAACGCACTAATTTAGTGCTTTTTTCCGTTTCAAAAAATATCGATATGTCAAAAATCGCGATTTTTTGGGGGGATCGAAATATCGCTATTTTGACCCTAAAAACCGGTCTGTTTTCTTTGTTTTTTCACTGAAAAACTATATAGGAGTATTAATATGAGCTATATAAGTAATAATATTAGTATACTATACCCTTCGGGTTTGTTCAATATCCGAAATAAGGTGCTTAACTCAGATAATCTCAGTTCGGTGAAGGGTCACTACAGTTCAGCACTGTCGAGATCCCACAGATTACTATCCTAACTTTTGTACCAAAAGGGATACAAAACTTGTTAACGATACCCAACAGTCGATTGTTGTTACCGTTGAGCCCGTTCTTGTTGCTCCTTGTGTTGCTTGCCGGAACATTCTTCTCCCAAGACCCCTCCGGATTGAGCGCAAATCAGCAGACCCTTCCGGGTTGAGCGCAAATTAGCATTAACGTGCTTAAATACTCAAACAAACCTACAGTACAAGCCTCACTAACGGGCTACGAAAAAGATCGTAACGATCCTGATTGATATAAATGCCTGTAACATCAATATATCTGTCAACAACAAACGGGAGGGTCGGATCATATCTTGTCTGGGGGGATGATTTCTACTGATTTTTTACTTTGTACTGTTTTTGGTTTTTTGGGTTATTTTTTATGTTTTTTGTTTTTCTTGGGTACTATACTACATTTTGGTTGGTTTTATTTATATCTTTAAATGTTTTTGGTCACAAACATCTCAGGAACGAGGGGATGGCCGATCCCCCCACCCTTCCTGGTTCGTGAATTTTCGGTCTTAACTAGGTTAAAAAGCTATTCACGGTAATCCGGAAGGCTTCCGCGTTCCGAACTACCCTTCAGCCCCGGCGGTTTTGGCCTACTAAGGGCGTTAATGTGAGCATCCGCTCGGCGCGGAGTGCTCGTTAACGGTTCTGCCGGTCATGATGTTAAAAAAGAATAACACCCAGGAGCGCCATAAAAACATCTATGTAACATTCGCCCGGAAGATACATATCGACGGAAAATAAAGCTAGGTTCTAAGACGACACGCCAAATTCTAAACAGAGCTTCACATGCTTTTCACCGTCTCTACCAAGCCAGTTTTCTTGGTGGTCTTTCTAACATAGGTTTTCTTGAATCCGGCGAAATATGATTTATTCTTCTTCCGGAAGGCTGTCTTCCACCCTTCACCGTTGTTCGCAACGGCCTTGCAACTATTGTAGCGGCACAATAGTTGCAACTCGGAGCGGTCTATGTTACTTCTGTTTTTCTCTGATTCCGATCCTCAGTTTTTTCGTTGTTATCGTCGTCGCAACTAATGTTGTTGTGTGTCTATTTCAATTTTTTCTCCAAAATGACTGTTTTTGACGTTTCTTAGAATTATTACCTCATCAATGCGAATTTTTAAAATTTAGAAATTTCCGAATCCTTCAGCCCTCACGATTTGTCCAATCGTCCGAATAACGCTCTTATTCCTTCAAAACCGCCAATTCGGAAGGTTCGCTGCTAAAAACTCGAAATTGCTGCATCTGCATTTTTGTACATTCTGGTCGAATGTCACATTCAGTTTATGTTGTTATAACTTTAAACAGCCTATAAAGTGAGTGACAGTATATAACAAGCGCTGCAAAAAATTGCTGGTGTTTATCTGTCTTCAAATCGTAAGTAAGATTTTATGAATTTCAGAAGCACAATGACCTGAGGCTCTTTCACTTCAGCGAGTCAATAAACAATCTTGTGTTTGCATGAGCGCTGAGAAGCCGTTCCGACTGAGAGCAGGATGCGTCTGTCTTAAAGAGCCCAATTCTTATGAGGCAAGCATTTCAGCAAAACTCAACTGAATAATAAAACACAATTTCTTCAGTCGATGAAGTTAGTTGGTGAACTGAATATGAATTATTATTGAATAAGAATAAGCAACCTTTTCTTTTTTATACTAGTAAAGCCTATGACACAAAAATAAACTCAGCTTGAAAATGATTAAAAGTATTTTTTTGTCATTAATTACTGCAGTTGTAATCTTTTTAACCGGTCCATATGTTGAAGATACTACTGGTTCAGAGTCTGAAGAGTCGCTGCTCTTGGGCGATACCCGGAGGAGGATGGGAGAGAGGAGAGTCCATTATTCACTGCGCCAGGAGGGAGTTAATGGAGGAGGCAGGTGCCACTCTTAACATCACCACTTGCTTCGGAGCTTTTAAAGTGAGTCAAACATTATTAATCAGGCTGGTGAGCTGGCGCTCAATCGCTTTATATTTCATGATAACATCTAGTGTTCAATTATCTGAAAATGTTAGCGTGTCGCTTTTTCGGAATTTTCAGAGGGGAAGCAAAGTCACTGTGATGTTCGAAGGAAATGTAATTGACTGCTTGGAGGAATGGCCTGAAAAGTCAAGTAAGTCACTTTGAAATTTACTCTGCAATTGACTGCAGTTGCTCGAACAAAATTCGTTTTTTAGAGCGTGGTAGGAGATGGGCCAATATTAATGACGCGAAAAGTTTACTTAAGTCAGAGTATGAAGTATCATTGTTGGACATATACACACAGATGCGGAGAGGAGAAACATATTCAGGCTCGATTATCACAATTGAAGATAAGAAATGTCCTGCCGAGAGTTCAAATGAAGACCCACTATTTCCATCAAACGTCTCAGGCCGACTGACTTTGTACAGCTTTGAAACAACTCCTGCTGGAAGAAGTGAAAAGGAATCAAACAAAGAGACGATACCTGCGAGTATGAAGGAGATTGATACATTTCCTATAAAAAGCCTAACAAATCAGACGTTTTATGATAAAGTCAAAAAATTATCAAAGCAATCTAAAAATAAGTAGTCCGAAATTAGTTAAATTGAAAGTTAATTTTAAAATTGTTTTCAATCAGATAGGAAGTGACCATCATTCTACAGCCAAAATTCCTAAATTGGTCTGATGGTTTTTTAATAAGATATAGCTTATTTTGATCCACAGCAGAATATGGACCCGTAAATGATCATTTGAGCCATCCATCCCGTCTAGCAAAAAACGCCAAAACAAAATGATTTTCAAGCAAAAAAGGTGAAAAGCAACAAATGGTGATATCAATCGCGAGTATGGTTTTTGTGTAAACATAACATAAACGAGTGCTCGAATGAATTTTTTTAAATAACTTATTTGGGGAAAATTTTTCAAAAAGAGAACGAAAATACTTTAGAGTGGCGGGCATTGAAGTAAACAATAAACGTTTTAAATGATCAGATAGTTTCATCACATGCAAACTCAATTAAAAACGCATGCTAAGTTTCCCATAAATTATGCATTTCAGTTACCCGCATTTTGTAGTTTCTAGATAATCAATAATTCAATTTTCATATGATAGAGTCGGTTTTCCACATATAGCGAAATATTCCTTCTGGTCCGCCTCATAACCAAAAGAAACTAAGCACACTGGTTGAGCCTACTACATAAAGTCAAACTACATCAGCCATAGAGAAGCTTAAAGCTAGCTCAAAGCAATTGTGCGCGAGTTCTGAAACGGCAAGTTACTCAAGTCATCGACTTTTGTGCAAACCTCAATCGCAACCAAGACGAGTTGAGCGATGAAACAACTGAACTTAAGCGTTGCTGGGTCAATCCTCAATCGCTAATCACAACAATTTCGGATTATGGTAAAGACACTGTGCCTTTCACTCTATCGATGCTGCTAATTCGTTTCAAGCCAAGTAAATTGCCCATTGTAGCGGATCCTATCATAGATGAGCTTAATGAAGATGAAATATTTTCAAGAAAACGATTCAACTAATTGCACAAAGAGCTTTTGTATACATAAACGATGATGGTGATTGCTATTATCGTGGGCACTTGAAACCGAGGAGATCGTATATGCGAGGGAATCGTTGAAACAGGGAATCGGAAGCTTAGTACACTGCCGATTTTAAGATTGCAAAAGTTGCCCATAAACAACGATGAAGGATAAAACATAATTTAGTTAATCAAACATCACAAAAAATTAAAAACAATGGCCAGTCATCCAGCTCATCTTTCATCAATTCAATTTTCATATGATACAGTCACTTTACAGGTGTCGCAAAGTATTCAGGAAGATCTAACTTCATATCTGAATGCCAAAATTGTTTCCTGCCACTAAGTTATAATGCAAATAGTTCTTTGCAGAAAATAATCGGCTAAATTCAATTCGTTTCTTTTTGAAGTTGAGAGTTTTGTTATCGCTAATTTTGGTGTATGGGGTAATGCTCAGTTGCTAACTAATTTCTTAAAAAGCATTTGAAATTTTACCACAAGCTGGCTTCGGTTGAAATATACTTAGTGTCTTGCCTGACTGCTGCAATATTAAACAAGAATACCTGGTTGCCATTGTGACTGGTAGGAAAATGGCTAACACACGAAACTCTTTAAAGTTGTTCTAGACCTCAAAATACAAAAGTTATAGTTTGAGGGGGTAGTTTTGGCTGCGGTTTTAATGGGAACGAGTCACAATGTAATATTCGCCCGGAAGTACATATCCGCGGAAAATAAAGCCAAGCTATAAAACGACTGGCCAGCGTCTAAACTAAGTTCTACATGCTTTTCACCGTCTCTACCAAAGCCAGTTCTTTTGGTGGTCTTTGTAACATCGGGTCGACAAAAACGTTACTGCTTTCGGCTTCGGTCAAAACACTCAAATTAACTTACTTACATGCAAAATTAGTGAGCTCATGGCTGGGTCTCAGTATCCCCAGGCCACGAGGTCACTCCTAAAAACAGGGCTACTACTATTTGTTATATTACTATTGTTTTTGTTCAGTAGAGAAAAATCATCGTCTCCATCGAAGATGGATCAACCCTTTCCCTTAGCTCCTAGCTTCTCATCGTCGGAAAATGAATTCAGATGTTAAATAAATGCAATTCAGGACATAGGGAAGCTAAAAGTTTGTATAAAATGATATAAGTTCCAGTCCCGAGACCCCTCCGGATTCTTGAATCCGGGCAAATAACACCCTTATCTCCTCTCCGGAAGGCTTGTTTCCACCCTTCACCGTTAGTGTGAATGGCCTTGGAACGATTGTAGCGACACAATCGTTGCAACTCGGAGCGGTCTCTGCTATTTCTGCTTCTCGTTCAATTCTCGTTATGGTTTTTTATCGCGATTATCGTTGTTGTCGCCGTCGCAACTATTGTTGTTCTGTTTTTATTTCAGATTTCTTCCAAAATGGTCGTTTTTGACGTTTCTCAGAAATATGACGTCATCATTCGAAATTTAAAAAAATTAAAAATACCAGAGTGTTCTAGCCTTCACGATTCGTCCAATCGTCTGAATAACACCGTTAATACTCCAAAACTGTTAATTCGGAAGGTTAGCTGCTAATAATCCGAGATTGCATTTTCGTCCATTCTGGTCGAATGTCACACAAACTGTTGGTACTCAAATTTAGTTTTTTTTTTGTAGTTTGAAGTTCGATTAAAATTTGTTTGCCGAATGCAATGCACATCACGCGTCCCAGTAAAAAAAAGTGCAAATGGCGTGAATTTAATGAAAAATGCACTTAGAGTTTCAAAGCTTGGAGCCGAATGGAAGAAAAATACAATTTGACCCAGTTTTCTGCAGCCATCTCAAGTGGTATAGGGGTTTCAAAATTGTTTTAAAACCTCTGCAGTTAGTAGTGTTGATTTTTGTAGCCAAATAAAGCATGTTAAGGCATATGTTCTTTTATTGCGCTCGCTGCTAGGGATTTTGGCAACCGGTTTTTTTTAGCAGACCAATCTTTTAGCAGACTCGGATTATTTTTAAACTCAGAAAGCTAAGTTCAAACGCAGCGGCGATTAGTGACCGCTTGCTCCGATGCGCTTCAATTAAACACTAGTGTTGTGAGCGTAAATCTTTGTTTTGCCGCTAATATAGACTGTTGTCTTTGAAGTAGTTGTCTTGATTGGGGAAGCTTGATCCCAGACTGAAGCGTCATTTGAGTTTCGATCAATCATGTATCGCTTTATTACGCTGGTCTTCTAAAAGACTCAATTTTCCCTTTGTTAGGCTAAAAGATTGATCTGCTAAACGATCGATCCCCATTGCGCTCGTAACGGTACAATTTGGCATGGAATTCTTTTCGCTCTTACTTAATACGATGCAATACCAGGCGGCTTAATCGAAATATTTTGAATCAAATAAAACAATATCTGAAAAAAAATAACTGATACTATACAAAATTTATACATCAACACTGCCGAATCGAAGAAGTATTTGAAATGCAAACATGCCTAAAATTTTGTCGGAGAGGATTATGATGAGGCAAGTGAATATAATTTTTAGCAGGACTACAAGTATGTTCCCTTTTCAAATTTTTGTTTTAAGGGTTAATATAGGTATTTGTTTTCGTTTTTTTCTTTCGAAAAATATGGATATACTTCGAAAAATCTGATACACGGTTGCTGTGAAAGTGACAGAGAATGTTCCGATCACCCTTATCGGTCACGGTTGCAGGGGTCCAAATACCATACCCCTCCTCAAGGTGGGATCGGCTGTGGCAAAATCGGTGACATCTTTCTCCCCACGGAAAAAGAAGCCCAAGAGTGACAGATGGGGTTGGGCCGGGGGCAAATTAGAAAAAACCCTTATCATTACCCTTGCTTTAAGCAATGGTATTGCGATCGGGTACTAGACTTTTTTCCAGATAATAACTTCGTTCACAGGACTCATCTCGACTCATTCATCTACTGTGCTTTTCTGTTGCAAAAGACTTATTTAGAGCATGTTAGCATTTTGAGTGTACGCTCAATCAAACTGTTGAACTTAGCATTCGCGGTGCATTGAGTGAAGACACTATCATCAAGTTTCTTTTAACTTTTTTTGGCTTTATAAGGCTTCGCCTAATCTTATTCCGCTAATAGGCTTCGTTGTATCGAGTTAATTGAGTTGTACATAGTTTTTAGAATGAATCCATAGTAAAATTGGCATGGGGACATCTTTACAGCTGAATTCATACAAAAACAATGCGAAATAAAAAGTAATGCGTTTTTTAAAGAGTTTTTTAAATGCGTTTTTCAGTTTTCACGTATCAGTGCAATGAATCAAAGAAGGTCGATTGTTTTCTTTAGCAGACCGAAAGTGAAAGTCCCACAGCTCATGTGGATATATCCGGTATCATTGATTTGTGTAGAATTGGTAATTCTAGCAAATTTTTCGACTTAGCGTATTTTCTGCTTGGGTATCGTTACCTTGGTTTACGTTTAGGTATTTCATTTTTCGTTATGAGGTCTAAATAGCTTAATCGGATGGCTGTTAGCTAAGGGTAAACAAAGTAGAAAGATTGAAAAGTGGACTTAAAGCTAAATAAAGTAGTAGAAATAAAATCCAAGAAAAATGCACTTTTACCCGGACATTTCCCCCTCTAACTCTGGCTGGGATTAAGAAAATGGAAAACGGTTCATACCTGTAGGTAGCTAATTGTTATGGGATTGTACATGCACGGAACTATGTGCCTAGGGTAAATTGGGTCATGGAGGTACAACCGAGTATAAAAGCAAAACTTATCCCCGACCGTGTATTTTATCCTAACACGATAGGGAAAATATTAGTAAATTTGGTTCAAAATCGGATTATGATTAGTTTATTGGGATCGTACGACTTTGTTGCTTGGGTCAAGATTTGACACCGAAGTCAATTGGTATTTAAGTAAGTAGCGTAGGGGCGGATTTAACTGATAAGACTCATACGACTTCGGTTACTTACCCGATTTACGATACCAACCGCAGGGGGATGTATTTACGAAACGTGAACAAGTCGATAAAAACCCCGGACTTGGAACCCGTCAGCTTTGACAGAGGGATTAGGTAAAAGGGAAAACCATAGGGGGCGGTTGTGCTTAAGGGGATGAC